CTGTGTTGCATGTTTGGACATGTTTCGAATATCTACTTCGTCTGCAATGCCTCATAGACGTACAAACAACAAACTTACACCGTTGAAATTTTCGTGAATTCAGAATGAGGCGGGAGCAGAATGGCGATTGGCGTCTGACGCTCACTTCAAATGGCGAATTCGAAACGCTTTGACCTACAACTGATTTGCGTAGCGATGGCTATGAAGTAACATTAAATAAAACCTTATTGTCAATGTTAAAACAAAATAATGGGAAACAGTAACTCTCATTACGTTCTTCTCGTATTTCGTGATCGCTACATTCGAGTCCAGTTTTTTTTGTATGACAATGGCACCTTGAGCAAGCTTCTTGTACGTGACACCCTTCATACATACACTGCAAATGGTTTCCAACAACACGATCTCCTAGCCAATAACGATTCTGCAAATCAGAACCTGTGCTAATCAGGCATAAGCTAAGGCTGTCAGGACTACAAAAATCCCCTGGTCTACTTGTATGTATGTATATATATATACATATATATATATATATATATATATATATATATATACACTAAAAACTGTGAAAATAATTGAAAAAACAGCGGGGGTTTGTACCTTTACGTTGCATCATCCCGCCGTTTTCATACAGCCGTGCTGTACAGATTGGCAGAACAACTAATAGTTACAAAAAAGATTAGACGAGCTAGTTCACTCACGTTTTTCTGTTCTTTTTCATTATTTCTTATTATATCTAGCTTATTTAGACAGCAATGAAATCAGTACTCAGCAGTAGCAACTTTGACACATGTCATAGATGTGTAACATCAGCTACTGTGATCTGTCTCTCGCTGGTCAAAAGCAGCCGCTCTTGTACGAACTGCTTACTCACATTTGCGATGATCATTCAACAAACCGGTCATACTCGTTAACGCACTGTGCTCATTTTTGTACAATGAAAAAGTGCTCAGGTCGGAGTGATCACACTCGCAGTAAAAACATTTTTATTTAAATATTAGTTTTTTTTTTTTTTTTTTGTCATGCAAGTAAATACGTCTCTGGGACGTTCTCCATTAATGTATAGCCTTGGTCTGATAGCATTCGGTGTACAGAACGTATTGCTGAACTTAAACATGACAAAAATGTCGCCCTCCTCTGTAAGTTGAGTTTCATTTACACAAAGGAACAACTTGTGGCATCTGTTGATTGAGTGTTTTCTGTTAGCTTGCTGAACATAAGAAAATCGCTTCTCCGAGAAAGAGAACGGCCACTTCTCGCAATATATTTACGCCATCTTTTAGCTTGTTTGTAAATAGAACTATTCGGCCGAGCCCGATATGAGTCAATGTCTAAAGCACAACATCCAACTACTACAGTGTAGCTTCTGCTTTATAGCGCATGCAGGACTTCGCCTTTTGTGCCTTATGGACAAACACATCTGATATATAGAGCCCTCATGATATAGAAATAGTTCAAACCTATCAAATATCCCGCGGTTTGCTTGTGTGTACAGACACTTCATATAAAGACAGGAACACAGATTAGCATAGCTGGCTGTAGATCAGGACATCGTTTGATCCTGGCGGACACTTGGATTACTTGTTGCTCTCAGTTAATCGGGACGCTGATCAGAGATAGATACCTTTTCCAACGTCGTGTAACTTACAGTAGATGTAAAGTCACCTGAAACGAAGCGTATGTACTATTAACGCACTGGTGTAGAACAAAGTTCGGCTCAATGGTGTCTTATAACTACTCGTATTACCGTATCTACTAGCGATGTACTCGTATTCATTAGTAATACTGCACCATCGATGAGAAGTGAATTCAACCGAAAGAAGCATTGCCTGCCTATTCCGGCCTGAAACTGTTGCGAGATACGAATTTTGCGGTCTACATTTTTTTCATTTGCTCCCGAAATTGAAATAGGGTTCACAGCAAATGTAAAATACAATATTAAAACACAGCAGTATGTACACTAATGTTGTTTATAATATGGTCATAATTTAAACGAAGTATCAAGCTGATGTACTGAAGGAAATGTTCCACAATAGGACGAAGTCGTATATATACGAAGTAGACGCATCGAAGAGTTGATGACGAGCTGTCCCTATCTTTACGTAACTGCGACCGATGTTTACACACCTTTGCGGTTACTACGAACTACGATAACATCCTTCTCTGGCGCTCACTAGCCTGGCCATATTTTTCTATTGCGTTTCAACTACCACTTTGTAAAATCGCCGGCAGTCTTCTACACAAAGATCTCTGAATTTGGGTTGGGCTTGCTGTTTCGTGCTTCTCGTTAGAAATGTCGCTACTGTTATTTACTACTTTTTATTTGGGGACAAAGTATTTGCTTCAACAAGAATGCGTTATAAAGTGCCGTAGCGAAAGAAGAAGAGAAACGGCGAAGATGCTTTGAGGTTTTATCGACCTAACGTTTACGCTAATCTAGTAGTCGACATGCATGAAGCTTAGATAGCACTTAGACGAAAAAAAAATGGCGAAGTATCGTCGTGCTTATGTTGTTATTAGCTGCACTCAAGTACGTGGTTTTGTAGCCTGCTCCTTTTTATTGTGACTAATCAACGTCTCTAAGTAATTACATTACACTATATGCACAGTATTCGTTCTGACTAGAACATTGCCGACTTCATATGCAAAAAAGAAAAGCAAACGGGTATTTCCTATATGTGTTATATATGTAAGCATAACTAGATAGAAGTTATTCAGCCTAGTTGCTGCGAACATTTGAATTCGTCACACCTAGTTAGTTTCCCCTGAGTCTGAACCATTGATCAAGTATCGCCGTTCAACTTCGCAGAACAAGATGGCCTAGAAACATCCGAGCTTGTTTAAAGCATTTTCAGCTATACGTTTCATGGAACTCGTTGTAGTAAGTTCTGAGTGTTTCCAAGTTATTCATTCTTCTAGTTATAAGGCGACTGCCATATAATCCATGCAGTCATCAGAACACAGCATTCGCATTGTGCGGCCATCTGCAGAATGTTCCCTAGTGAAAACTTGCTTCAATAAGCATTATATATTGAACACATGCATATGCTTCGTTGCAGCTTAAGCCTTATTCAAACCCGACCTTGAATTTCTGTCAACCTTTGTTAGAACTGAAACAAAAAAACAAACAGTATAGTCCTTTTATAGAATAATAGAGGAAGGGTTATAGATTCGAATATTTTTATTGGGTACGTACATGGCTCAATAGGCTTTTCACCCATCCTTGATCCTACAATACTGCTTTAGATTAACATAAACTTAGTAGGGTTGAAGTTCGTCCAAAGCAGCGCGTCACGTTTCCCAACTGCAATTTCACTGACCGCTCGTTGCACTAGTTCAGTCTTGGCTTCAGAACCCACCGCGAGTGAACTGGGTATCTGCTTAAAAGGAGATATCTTACGACGGATCACGAGCTGTGATAAAAAGTGAACGTGTTTTCTTGTAGCTAGAGTGGTTTGACAAACTGACAGGACGGCGATAAATAATGTTTATCTTTACTCGGAATACATTAGAACATCTAATTGTAGATGTACCGCATCTTTCAAAAGCAGCTCAACGTGTAGGGCATAAATGGCTAGCATTAGGTAGATAATGATGGTCTTACCTTGATGTTTGCTGGGGAGTCTACTTCAGAAACTAGGATAATTAATGATGCCCCTATATTATGAGTTATCTTTATATAATATTTTTTGCTCGTTTGTTTGCAGTGCATCGTAATCAGCAATCGGCAATAGATTAAATGCGAAGGCCTCTTGTTGCCAAAGTTACTACTGTAAAAGGGTGTACAAACATAAGCACATATTTATTTATGAACAAAAGTGGTGTATGCGTCCCAATCTAGATATTACTCGAAATCACGGCGTACTTCATAACTAATCTCATGTTGTTATGACGATATTTTTGATAATGGCGTACGCTCAGTAGAGTACAACTCTTATGCAAATTACTTTGTACTGAATGTACTTACATTTATACAATTGATTCGTCCTTATCTGTGACAGAATAATGCAGCTTTTATTGGAACTAATTCCATATTGACCACCAAAGTGGTCTTCCTGTACAAAAAACTATTTGATAAAATTTATTTTGTCAATATTTAACGTTAAGTCAACTTAGTCTCACAATCCCCCCCCCTAGCTATATTTGTTAGCTCCTTTGAGCTAATTTTATGGATTCGTTGCGAAATATGCTTGCAAGAAACAACAACAGGGTATTTATGGTAGACAAAATTGGCTCATTTATAAATAGATGTAGTTGTTTATAATCCATTCCATGTGTGGAAGGTCAAAAGGAAACAAATGCCTTATATCGATTCGAGTAGTACTCAAACTCAACCGAATTGTGTACATCTAAAATATGGAAATGGTCGAGACAAATCTACCGCTTCGTATATACTTAGCAATGTATTATTATTGATGTTGATTTATCACTTACCGAGATTTTCCAGCTATCAGCCTTCCATCCTGCATTTAGTAGGTACCCTTTCTTATTCATAGGTATTTGAACAAGCCCCGAAATAAATCTTAATACGTTGACTTGATGGCTATAAACTTTCATATGCTTTTCAGTAAATGTATTGGGCTGTTGCATGCGAATTTGATAGACTAAATTGGTTTTCTTTAAGCGATGAGCGGTTGAATTTATTATAGCGAAAATGAGAAACATTTTTAAGCCTTGAAAATCAACACTCAATAGCCAAGTTTTTGCTTCTTGAAGCAAATGCTTACATTTTACATTTTCAATATAGAGATTCGTATTGAAGATCAGCGAAATGCTGACCAAGTGTCGAAATTCTAAGGGTAAGAACGCATCGCCACAAACCGAGGAGGTTTCTCATGAAAGCAGAGCTTTTAAGCTGACCAAAACTGGCATTTCATGTCTAATATGTTACAAAGCTATAATTTTAATACTGAAAATGTAGAAGCTGGGTAAAAAAAGAAAAAAAAGGCCACAGGCCTATTGGTAATGTGGGCTGTGTTTATTTCATGTGCAGTTCTCGGAATTTTAGTCAACAAGCATTCGCCTGAAGTATACGGCCGCTATAAACAAAGCATGATTCTATCTTTTCCGCCAACCAGAGAGGGAGAGCAACCAGACACCAGACGATATAATGGCGTCGCCCTGGAGAAAAGTCGAGCTCAGTGGCAGTGGGTTCGGACGTAAAATGGTAATCTTGCAACGGACATCAGAGAAATCTGCTACTATGAGATTGTTCAAGATGGACCAATGACTGCAGCCCGTTATCTGAAGTTCTCAAAGACACTCATGGAAAACACGCAGTCTGGTTACGCAAAGCCTCATCGCCATATCCCAGTACGTTTCTGGGTTGGAAAGATTACTTAGCCTTGGCTTCAACTCGCTTATTATCCCGTTTTAAATCCGTGTGATTACGGGGCATTTTATGTTCAAGGGTTGTTTAAAACGGCAACCAGTGAGCAGGCACAGCCCACTATCTACTTACTTCGAGAAATCATAAATGGAGATATTAAATATGAGAACGCAAATGGTAGGTATATGGCTATACAGAAGTCGCCAGAATGCTGTAAAAAATAAAAGCATTTCAAATAAATTAAAAAAATTAATTCTACCCAACTAGTTCACAAGTAATTCTACTAATTTGTTTTTAACAGCTATATATACTACAACAGCATTGAATATGAAAATTGACGTACTGAATATTTCATATATCCGCTTTCTAGAATTTAATAGCTAGTAGCTAACTTACAGCTAACTCATGGAGGCAACAAAGTAATGATAGTAAGAAACAATAATAGTAATAGAAAATTGTTTTTCCCCTTCATTAACTCACGTAGGCACATCTGTCGTCAATTCGGAAAAGTCTATTTGTAACGTAGCTTTCGTCAGGTTAGCATTTTTCTGTGTTGCCTGCGATCTGCTGCTAACTACCTTCTCTCGTCCAGGATTCGTTACGTTATACTGCCGCGGTACGTGGGTTAACAAGTGTGTATGCTTATGTGTAGTCGGGTGGCGTCTGCGAAGAACGGTGCAGAACCTCTGCACCACTCTGCGCCCATTGTAAAAGAACGGATGACGCTGTACTTCCTCTGCACAGAGATAGGGTGCTATGGGGTACCGCTACTGCCGTTACTAGCGCTGCCGCCTTGTCGTATCGATCGAAGGTCTGCCGCTGCTGCCGCTGTTCCTTCTATTGCTACTACTACGTTCTGCCTCCCTGGGGCGAAAGCAATGTTACGACAATCTCAGACTTGGCGGCCGATGGACAGAGCCACCGACAAGCACTTTCCCCAACTATACGGCCTCGGCTAGATGACCAGACCCCCACCTCATCTGTATATATATATATATATTTGTGGGGAACCATCGACGGAAGCGGTGGATGGTCCTGCAGCACCAGAGGGATCACAGCCGCGGTGGCTGCCTGCCTAATCAGACTAGCGGGGGCGAAAGGGCAGCGTTTCTAAAGAAATCCCACATACGCTACTTTTAGGACTAACCAATCCAGTATGCTCCACAACCACGGCCCTACGAGCTCTCGCTGCCCTCCCCCGAACTCTTATACTCCACTACCGCCCCCTCCACTCCCCCCGCCCGGCCGTTACGCCTCCGGACAGCCAGCCTCGTGCCTAGATTCGTCATGCGTTTGTCTAGCCTATGCCTCGGCTGCTTCTGCTATCGTTATACAAGACCACGCTTCTTAGCTACTCATGTAATACTGATGGCTAGTTTACTCTGGCTCATTTTCGGCCCTCACTGCCGATGCGTATCGCAGCCCGGTGACCGTGAGGGTAACCGACCCTAATATCTAGCACGGTTTCATGTAACTTGGAGTAACGTCGTTTCAATGAGATACGTTTTATTTAGTCATCTAGGAAAGGGTCCGTCACTACTGCAGGAAATATTATACGTCAAATAAGTATTACTGATTTCTGTTAGTTAGAGTCGACTAGAACAAATCATGCAGATATGTGCTAGCTAGGGTAATGGTCGGTTTCGAAGGAGTATAGCAGTGGATATACAAAATAAATTGCGTTATTAAGCTACATCAAACGAGCCTACCCTTTAGCGTCGACATATTGAATTCGTTGTTTTGCTTCGAATAGAAACAATTTAAGGTTATCGTGTCGTCATTAGCATTTAACGTAATTAAACTGGCGCGTGTGTGGACATGGCATCGCGCATATATCATGTTAGTTGACATAGGAGAGAACCTACTAGATTTCACTGGTAATAACGGGAGAACTACGCTTGCTGAGCAGAATTGTAGGCCCTGCGTCTTCCTTCGCACAGCAGGTTTATTTCCGAAGCTGACTTCTACGGAAAGCACATGGTGAATTCTGAAAAAAAAAACGTCATATCCTATTATAGCTCTTAAATAGTCTACTGGAGCTGTGTTTGAGCTGCCTAAAAATGACAGTCAGCATAGGTCATAAAAAAGTGAAAATTACCATTTACTGCTACATTAATTCGTGGAAAAAACATCATGGCTAAAACTTTGTAATCGCGAAGCAGATCACTCGTCGACTAAGCCACTTTAAAACCTTAATAGGGAACTGGGCTAAAAAGCGCGAAGCATTATTAGTGTCATTTGGTGTTAGTATAGAACAACATGATCACAGCGACTTCGTACGAAGGTAGACATCTGCAAAAAAAATAAGCTCCTCGGGCTATGAGAAAAATACGCAATGACCTGCGTTTCTAGTTTTCGTGCGCAGCGTTGACAGTGATCGAAACTAACTTCTCTGCAGCAGCGGATTAACAAAGGAAGACAAAAGCACTTTCAGCTTTATTCTTTAGTAAAAAAATCACTGAATCAAACTTTATGAACTACTGAAGTTGAACTCTAAGCAGTTTTCAACTGTTTCCCAAAATCTTTGACTGATGTTCTGGTAGTGAACTGGTTTTTCTCCCGTTCATTAAGCCTAAACGTCTTTTAAGAAATTCGTTTTATGTTCAGTCTTTGAGACAAGGTCTCAAATTATTTAACAATACTAGCATCTGGTGCATACTAGGCAAAATTGAGTGCTACATTTCCGCCCCGTGATATCCAAGCGAGTCATATATCTATGTCGGACTTAATGTTTTGTACCGACTCATACGACTAGATGGATTTGGTTTGCCCCTATATACTCTCTAGATCTCTTTTCGCTTGCCTGAAATGTAAGACAATGAAGGCAGGAGCGTAAGCGTTAAATACAAACGTTTGTAGAAGTCCGATAGATCACCGGAAGGATCCGGGGACGTTCTTGATTTCGTGATGGTAAGACAACGTAAAAAGTCTAAGGGATCGGCGCAGACTCTCAGGGCGGTGTTCGCTTATTACCACTGCGACTAAATTTCTGTTTAAGTCCTGTTTCGAAGCATATGTTTTTGGCGGTGTCTAGCCATGGCAGAGGCGTGCGTAATGCTATTCTCCGAAGTAGTTAGTAGTTTCTGCTTAGGTTAGTAGGTTCAATGGCCGTTAGGCTTACTGACCTTTGACTCGATTTTTAATTCCGCAGGCGGACAACAGCGTTCGAAATCTCGTCAGACGATTTTACTAGAAGTCGCGCTTTCGCAAACGGTTTGCTTGTCTTGGCCTTCCGCCAACCTAAATGTCGATTTTGTTTTCACCAGAGTAACAGATCTCAACTGAGTTTCCGAGAGTAAAAACGCAACCTGTGTAAGTGCACGTGCATGTATGTTAAGTGCATAGCCATGTATCAGGAATAACAACAGTACAGCGTGCTCTTGAGGAGCATATACAGGCAATTTCAGTGGTTGATCGTGTTTGAAGTAGTTCACGAACGTATATGATTTCTGGCACTTTATGTCGAGGCAGGTCATTTGTGTGGTTTCATAAACGACGCTACGCTTGCGGATTTTGATTTGAAGTAGATGTTCAAGTTTTTACTAGTATTATTTTCGTCGAACAGCGATAAAGGCTTGCCAAACTGGATAAGTACTTGTGAGGAAAGTGGCATCTGTCAAGCCACTTTTTGAAAAGCTGCCATCTTAGTACTGATGCATATTTCTTCTAGAGACGTAGTAAACTTTCAAAGAATCGCCTTATTTTATGCGTTGAAAGAGAAGTTAAAGCATTCGGGTTGTTACGGAACTGATCTTAACACCGATGTATGGATTTCGATGTCCGGAGTTTGTGGAATGAGTCTGCACGGACAACGTCAAAGTGACGCGGCACACTCCGCGTCCCAAGCACGGTACGCGCGAGCCGGTTTGCCATTAGAAAGTACCTATTCGAACTGCAAATTGCTTCTGTTTAAGACGAGCCTTCATATCGAGAGTTCTTTGCGATAGTTCTACGCATGCGCAGTTCGAACAAGACAACACATACAAAAGTACGATCTTCCCTAGAAAATATCGGAAGAACATTTGATTTTTAATTGTTGTATTTGTCTTGCTCATACTGACAAATCGAAATCGATCTGAATCGCGAATGAATTGAATAAGAGAGAACTAGACTTCTGTTTTATATCTGCGTCTATCTGACACATACTCGTAAAATAAGGCGATTGACTGATGCGTACTTCTAGAAGCGGAACTCGATGATTCATTCAAATGCTACAGAAGCACTTATCTGAAGTGCTGGTTGTAAGGCTGATGTTTCCAGGTGGCGTTTCAGCTGGCCAGTCTCACAGAGTCGGTCCGAAGAACATGTGATTATGCGCAATCACACAATGACATGTTAAATTCTACAACGAATAATTTCCTCAAGATGCGGTTATAGTTTAGTATCGGTAAGGATGCGTCCTGTAACATACATAGAAAAACACACATGTTCTAATTGTGTCTTGAAGTGTCCCGAGTACTATCGCATTTTACCGGACCAAAGAATGTTCCAGCACAAGTTGGATCGGTGGCAGCTGCGATACTTACCAACATTTTTATGGCAACCCAAAAACAGGTTACTAGACAACGATCTCGACAGGCCAACCTGAACAAAACGTCCATGAGATTCATAATTTTGAAGGAGTCTGTCCTCTTCGTTTTAAAACTAAGATCTTATTTTGATTTGCAGAAAGGAAATTCGTCATATCATAGATATTGTTGCTTTTCGGGTCAATAGGCTGCCCATATCTGATTATATTAAAGAAATAGAAGCTTCTCTGCGAACATCTATTTTCACCCATACAGATTCTGACCTTGAGCGAAGTAGTATACTAATTAATTGATCATCAATTTAGGAAATGGCTAGATCTATTAAAGATTAATTGAGATCATTTTCGCTTGACTGTAGCCTCATCTCTAGTGGTACTTCGCTTACTACAGCTTACCCTTAACTTTGGTGAAGACCTCCTGCGTTATTTTTTGTTGCTGTACCGTAACTTTATTAGCCCATTAGCTGAACACAAAGAGAATGTTTAACCTATGTTTATAATTATAGGGCCAGAACTTACAATGTCACCGTTGAGAAGCTTTTAATTCGTACCTCGTCCCAAAAAAGCTGCTAGATGAACAACACGGCTTCAATAGGAGCATATCCGCTTAAAAGCATTTAGTATATAATTTAAGGTACTATATATGTACGCTAAGTACGAGCCTATTTTCACTAGTGCAGATTTAGATTTGCCAAATGCGTCCGATAGAGCTTCCCACCCACGATTACTGGTTGTCTGGAATCGAAACTAGATAATCTTGCAATTGATAATCGACTGTCGCTTGGTTCGGCCTTGTCGGTTGGACAGCTGCTTAGCAGCTAAGGTCGATAGGTCATTGTCTCTAGCGAGTACCGAAAGAATTTTGCGTAGGCCCAATTCTGTTTTGTCTACTCATACATGATCTTATAATTTATGTTGTTTCTAAAAGCGGTATTTATGAGCTGTACACCGATGACCTGGAACTATGTGCTACTTCCAGCTTTCAGTTGACCCGCTTAGGGAATTGGTGCCAAGATTAGCAGTTGATCTTCTGGTAAATATGATAGATTTTAGGTACGCTTTTAAACTGACATTGTCCATATAGCCGAGTTTATTTGGGACTTGAGAATTCCTATACACATCTGTCCACACTTTGATTTACATGTTACTGGAGTTGTTAAATAGCAAATTTTTCAGATTACAACTTTCTGTTGCATCATCGTCAGAGAAAGGGATTCCTATATAACGCTCTATGATTGCAATGTTCAAATATACGTATTCCTTGAATATATGGCGCCCCTATTTAAAGAAACTCGCTGAAGTGCCTGACGAGCTCTCATACAAGCTTTCGCATAGTGAAAACTTGTTTATCTCAAGCCAATGAGCGAATTTTACGAGGCTGGCAATATTAAAATGTTTAAGAATAATAATATAAGTATAATAATAAAAAATAAGATGACAACTAATATAAATTCACTAGACTAATTCCTAGTCATACCCAAATATAACTTGTGCAAGCGCCAACTACATTTCTACTTGTTCTATTATGAACATCGATATTAAGGCTAAATAAAAGTTTTCGAGACCTATCTCATACGGTTGGATCCCGGTACGAAACGAAGTGTGTCTGGACTACATCAGGAGTTCTTAAACGTAGTAAGCAAGTCGCAGGGACATAAAAATGTATTATTCTCAGCGAATATATTTCGTTTTCTTACACAATTCGTTATTAACTACAAATAAAAATGTTATTGTATTGTGTTAAGTAAGTTGTATCATGGCTATACTGCACAGAACTTAATTGGGCTTTGCACAATTCTGGCTAACGAAATATTGAAGGGCGGCCAACTTTTTAACAAATCAAAATACCTAGAAATTATCAAAATTTTATTTTTAATCTGGCATGCCTTTGATAAACATTGGGCCTGAATTGTAAGACTTTGCAAGCATGCAACATTTACCATGCGTAAAGATGCTCAGTCTTGTATTGGAGAACAATCAGACCAATTACACTAAGTTATCTAGAGCTATTTAGAGCGGGTTCAAAAACTTAAATAACCTTTACACTATTCAGGATGGAAAAACAGTGTTTCGGTCCCGTGAGACGCACGTTCTTTAAGTCTAAGAGCATCTCAACAGGTGAATGCATGTTGTTTGCATCATTACACTTAATCGGCCTATCAATGGCCTGTCTGAGAGAATCGATGTTATATATAAAATATAGAAGCGCTCTAAAACACGCCAACATACATTTGGAGAATGTGGAGCCTGAAGCCAATGCTTGATCCGATTTTTTTTCGAAGCCGCGACTGAATAACGAAGGCGAAGAGTCCTGCATAGGCGCTAATTGACCGCAGTGTGTGCTAACGCCGCATATACACATTAAGGCTCTACTGGAATTCGAGATATCTGCTAATATTAACCACCTCTTCCTCGTAAAAGCAAACGTTCCTGCTATTCATTACGGGTATGAGCATCAGATCACGGCCGAACTTGTTCGGCATTGCCATTAAAGTCGGTTTTCCTCCTGTCTGAGACAGTTCCTTAGCATGACACACCGGTGGGTAACACAGACGTGCTCGCGTTTCGCCTACGATTTTTACTGCTAATTGTTGACCAGATTGTCTTTAGGATACGCTACCTGTGTGCCAATTAGATTTGGACTTGGTTTATGAGGAACATTTGTTGGCTTTCTCTCTTAAGTTTTAATGTTCTAGTTACACGTACGACATATATCTCGTACATCTCTTATTGAGCTCATTGCGCTTTTGCCGAAGACTTTCATGTCGTTTTTTCGTTTGAAGTGCCGAGGTGTGGTCATATCGTCTGTGGTTTTCATCCTCTCAATTGCTGTTCTTAAAATGATCGAAACAGGAATTAACTGTTGTTTCTGCTATGAAAGCCTCCTCGACCAATTCTGTCAGCAATTTTCGATGAGTCACATTAGCATTTTTGGCCTCGAAACAGAGTTAGTCACAGAGTGTTAATATTTAAAAGCAAGCAATGTCTTTGTCTTTGATTTAATTACTTTCTGGTAATACCCAAAGAATTTAATGAGTCCATATATTCGATGTACGAAGTCACTTTGCTAATGCTACGTACTTGAAAAGTTAGTCAGCTTTTTTAAATAGCTCTAAACGACTTAACAGAATCCAATAACATAAAAACAGGGTACGATTTTTTAATGAGTCTTGTAACTTTAATAGTTGTGCTCTGTTTAGCTTCAATAGCAGCAATATCCGTAGTAACTGATAACACTGCTGAACTGTTTAGCTTCTGGTAGGTGCCCAACGGTTCATTAAAAAAAATTGCGACATAAATTTAACTTACCTGGCTTAGTTCGATTACAGAGATGCATACCCATATAATTGTTAGTCTGTTTATATACATTCTCACAACCTATATCCTTTGTCGTTTCAGACGAAAAAACATATGACAATGAGCTTGTTCAGTAAGCAGTCGAAGCGTGTTGCTTCGACGGACATTAATTATTTCCGTTACGGGGTCTTGAGCGTGGATGCTGGCCTTTGCGTCACCGCTGTACTGTACTAGGTTTCTATAAAAGGAACTCTGTAAGGCGCTTCTAGCAACCTTTTCTGCAGTCATAACGTACTATTCCTTGTCGCCGTTCCGTTGAGGAATCATTTCTGACGCGTCAACAAGCGGTCATTGTTAGAGAGGGCATGGCGACGAATTCTAAGAACATGTAAACTGGTAAACGTTTTTTCAAAAACATATGTTTTTCGGTGTCCGCTGGGATCGCTAATGCTAAAAACAATGTGAGAAAGAAATACGGTGCTTGCCCTTTTCCTTTAAGACGCATGCTCATTTTGCGCGCCAACTTCTAACGTGGCTAAAAACCTAGTAAGTGCGGTACGAAGAGGCACTAAATTTCGTCTCTCTTCCTTTCGTTCTCCTTTGAGTTCGGGGGCAAACTCTGGTTCACGCATTTTCGAACCAAAATCATCTGAAGCTCCCCCGCAACGCTAACGGCTAGAAATTACTGCTTTATTTTACGGAATCGGAGGTGCCGTGACTGGTGTTGCTGCCTTTGTCGAAGCCAAAATGCATGTGCTACCTATTTTCAATAGTTTACGTGCCGTATCACACTAGATTCGCCCATATGATTTTGCTGTAACACAGTTTCTTTATTTAAACCTCTCTTTGCAAATTACAAAGAAGGCGCTGCAAGCGATTTGTCCGATTGGGTTGGTTTACGTAGGCTTAAGTTGAGTTGAATTTTCAACGGCAGAATTCGAGTTTCGACAAATTTAGAGAGCAGTGTGTCTCCTGTAGGGACTAAGGGATGGGAAAGCTGGTCCGCTTAGGAAACGTCTCGTAGTTAGCATATGTCCCAAGGGAACTCTTGAAAACTGTCTGCTCTGTATATGTCAAATGAGCTTTATCGCGTATCGTGCTTCGTCAGAGTTCGGAACGAATGTTTTGCGCATGTGAATTTAATACGCAAAGGAACTAAAATGTACGGTTCTTTAAACGGAAGCCCGACTGACTATTCTGACTAATATTTTACATCGGTTCGGCTTTATTAAAGGACCCTCAGTTGTACCAGTCAGGTACGTTATGAACGGTAAATTACAGTGTTGCACACACGCTTACGTGGAAAAGCCGAGAAGGGTTCCTCGACTATTTATTGAGACAATGTGTTCAGAAAAGTGCCTTATGAAAATTAGGGCTGATTATTACTACGGCAACTTGTACGTCATCAGTGCGGCGCAGTGACGATATTCTCGATACACATACAAGTCTGACGGGACAAAAGTGCCTTTGATACAATGCTCATTATTTTTGACCAGGCTTGTAAGAATACCAGCCAATGGTTGAACATGCAAACGATGTACTCAGTCTTTCAGGCCATATGACTTAATGACCTGAATATTTGCGCAGCAGATGCAAGCAAGAAACATCAATCGAGATGGAATCGTATGCCAATTGGCGAAATGGCAGCCTTGGACTATTCCTGTACCTGTACGATCAGAGGATTAAACGTGACCATTGAACAGTATCGCAGCAATACCCTTTCTCTACGGATACCGTTCAGTTAGAGTGTATCTCTAGCAATTTTGTTTGCTAAAGTAGCATTTAGAAATATTTAGCTTTTCCGTAGAATAAATAATGGAAAGTCCAATACATTAGTCTACCTGTAGAATACCGTAGAAACTCATCCACGTCTTAATGTTAATTTTTATTTAACCCATTGCTTAATTTAGGATATAGTTGCAATAACTCATATTGAAACGCCCACCGCTGAAGTGACTAAATGCTTCGAGCCAACATGCAGAAGAGTATTGCCAAGTGTTCCGTATGCGTCCAATGACGCCAAGGTAAGCACTGATCTGTGAAGCAGACTGAAGGAATTTGCGACACGGCCATAGCGAAGGCAAAAAGCCACCAGCAGAATAATGGTGACCCTTCCTCGCTGGCTTTTCTAATTTTAAAGAAAACGAATTTTTCTAGAAAGGTTCGTTGGAACAGTGCGTCTAATATTAGGGAACTAGGAAAAATGCTTCGGCTGATTGGTTCCTTACAGCTTAAACGTTCGCAGACTATACGTGCTTAACCTGCTGTGCCTACAAGTGGGCGCCAAATAACCACCGACAAGTATTTGCATTGCATACACTGGTTACGAATGATGTCAATGAGGAAGCTTACATTTTAATGAGAGAAAGCAGCTTTCGAAGATGGTGCTGATAATTTCAAAGGAATCTTTCTTATTAGTTAACTAACTGATTTTGTTGTTAGCAACATGCAGAACTTCGCAATTTTTCTAAAATTCTATAGCTAAAATACTTGCTAGCAAAGCGAAGCTGTACGACACTTGCATTGTTTATATGAAAAGCTACGATACTGGAGCAAGCCCGCATAGGGAAACCTCGCGGCCATGATGAGAACATTGCTAAATCGACGCTTGCCAACGCGATTGAAATCCTTACCAAGAAAGTTTTGTGGACCCTCACTGGTAAAAATAGGTAGATTCTTCAGTCTCAGTTATTCTGCTCAGCTGTGGCAAAACATCTTTCGTCAAAGAATTGAGATTCTGTCAAAACTAGTTTTTCTGTTCTCCGTTTTTGTCGATTGACTAAAAATTCTGCTGCCTGTAGGCGAACGCTCGACTTCGAAAATATTGCTTTTTCGAAGGTATCAGAGCATTTCGTTAATTAATTTATTATTTATAAAGTAAATGGATACGGAATAAGCAAAAAGGGCTGCATTCGCATTTTTAGAGATTTTATAAAGATCTAAAAAGGTCGATTGTGGTTAGTGCTTTACAACGCTTGCTACAATATATGCGTTTAACGCTGGAACTTTTCCAGTTGGTTTTCTTATATCTGATACTGGGACTATACCTTGCTATTACCAACGGCCTCTGTGGTTCGATGTCGACTATTATTAAGCAAAGTTATGAAGTAACTAATACAAGTGATCTGATGCAGGCATGAATTTATAGAGACGTATAAAGTATAAAAAAATACTTGTAATTAATTCCGAATTTCATTACTATCCTAGTATGGTTAATATTCTGTTTGTATGAGTTATCAAAGTGGCATAAAGATCATTTTGATTTACGTCGCAACCAAGTGCCTCTTTAGGTGAACTTCGTTGAGTTCAAAAAAAAACCCACGATATTACAACAGTCAGTGTGTCCTAACAAGAAAATGTTCCCAAACCATTTTTATTCTTTTGACAAACATAGATAATAAAGAAAAGAACTTATTTACTTTCGACAAAAGTCTGCGGATTGTCCTTTGAATCGAAGTGGCGTATTTATAACCATGTATCAGTCTAACATTTCTTGTCAACCGCTGGACTAACACGATAGCTTATCGTGCTGTATTGCTTCTAGTAGTTCCCTTTCAGTCTCCCTAGCGTCGTTTCGTTCTGCAAGTTAGCTCTCTACTTAGGCGCTGTTCTTCTGAGCTAACGCGATGGCTAGTTTCTCACTTGACATTGTGTTTCTGGATGAGTTTTGTAACTTACTAGTCTGTTCCATCGTCGTGACCGATGATGGCACGGTGTTAGTGTCTGGGTCTCGAACCGGCCTCTGTTCTGCTTTCTATCCACCGCCGCCGAGAGCTTTCAGCCAGCTACGTTGTTCTCCAGAGCAAGTCAGTAGTTCCCTGGATGTTCCATCACTAGGTGTCAGGGTAGATTTTGAATCCAAATCATTCCGAGCACAACCGAGAGGAAGAAACACTAAAAAATGACATTAAACAAGAACGAAATCATGTATCCTCTTCTTTTTTTTATTATTACTGCATTGGGTCGTGGGATTGTAGACTCCATTTGAGTTTTTCCGTGTGCACGTGCTGCCCTTGAAGCAGCACGTGCAGCTTCCTCATTGAAATGACTTCTTTTGAAAGCTATGCCTCGTATACAACATATAGTGCATAGATAGCGTTCGGTTCAGAGAATGTTTTTGGAATTCATGAGGCTGACCGAGCTCCATGTTACCTGATGCGCCATACCCGTAACCTCTAGGCAACACAAATATCTCTTATTATCTAAAACGTTTATATCCCTTATATGGGAGCGATGGTTCCCCCTTTGAATATTTATTATACAACTATTTGCGTGCATAAACAGCTCCAGGCTTTCCACGTTGCGTTGAATATCAGCCTACGCAATCTTACAATTGTACAATGGTCCCAAAATTGGAGACGGCATGGTATTACAATGTGGTGTAGATTCTTATTCGTCGAATATTTTATAGAGGTTATGCAATGAGCGTCGCGTGTAAGCCTGACCTATGTTTGACCAGTGTCTCATCCAACTAAGACGCATCAAACAGCAAAAGTGGTCTAGCCACCGGGGCTGCTTGTAGCGAACCTCATTTGTTCTATGCGACGTGTGGTTCACATGGTGTATACCTAGATACGCGCGCCAGTGTTCCCGTGATGGTGCTATGTTGGGGTCATGTAACGTAAACGGATTCCAGACCCGCCGTAGGCATTTCATTTTGCACTGGGGACGAGCTTTTTTTAAGCCACTGCTTAACGGCAGTATTTAACAGACAGTTTCAAATATTCGCTTATTTGGGCACCTAATGGAAATGTTTATGATTTGTATAATTATTTTGTTTGTTTATACTTCCTTCTGAACTCAGCAAGCAACTATGAACAAAACTCCAGCTGCGATCAATTAGTAGTGCGATGTAAATTAATAAATAACGACCGAACATCTACGTTTCTTTCTGTGTTTTGCAGATAGTCTAGGTCGGTATATCCAGCAGAAACAAAGTCGTAGCCCGTGGCTTTAAAAATCTGTATGATTTCGGTTGATTTATAGAAACATATAGCAATGTGGTTAATTAACAGTCAAATCAAGGATAATCAAAGGAGATAAGCTTTTTTATTCTTGAAGAAGTCATTCGCACGGTGTGTAGATACTTGGCAAGAAAACGTTCACCGCACCTGACAACGTCGATACGAAGCCGCGATGATGACGCTGCTGTATGCATATACGACTAAGTCTGAGAGAGCTTCGAGAGAAGCAGCTTACTGTGAAACTTCAGGGGTCCGGATAAAACAAGAAGACGCGAACCGAAAGGTTTTTGCTTTTGGCTTTCAAGATCAACATGGTATTCTACCGTTAAACCCCCTTTGAAGCCGACAACGTAATGAACCAAAAGTATTACGCGCTCTTTTTATGTGAGCTGAAGTGGAAAATCTTCCAGAAGATTCTCTTGTTGCAAGAAAGGAATAGTCCGGTGGGGCTTAAACAAACTATTTTGTTAGCTTAAAAACTTTTCCTATGTGAGTAGGAGGAGCTGCGCTTAGGATTAGTATTTGACTTTTCGTGTTACGCTCTCGTTGACTTTTTCCCGTCTAAAAACGTCCAAAAACAAAACACCAGGAGAAACATCGTAGACATATCGTACATAGTTTGATCAAGACAGAAAAAATACAATGCCCTCTTGTATTTCTCCTAGAATTCAATTTTCAGTTCTTACGAAATGTAACCTAACATAGTTGACTGTGTGTGAACGTTGTTCCCCAGTTGTCTCCTTTATCCGTTAGATTAAACGCTAGGGCCGCTTAACGCTACGCAACTGAGGCTTTAACTCTGTGCTTTCGTTCATTGCTTTACGCTCCGTACCGCCCCCTTGCGCGACCAGAAGCGACTTCCTACTTCCGCGGTCGTTGTCGACAAATGCTCGGCAATGAAAAGAATGAGCTTGTACAGCTTTGAGAGATGGTGTCAGCGGCAGCGGTGATGGTTGTTACCTTTTCTGTGAGCCCAGAAAATCGCTGAAGAACGAATGTTAGGATGGCAGCGTCAACTCAACGGAAAAAACGGTTTGCCACCAACGCTAGTCCGATGCTCTATAAGCACCGCCGACTACACATAGTATTGCAACGGAGCCACAAACACCTTTCAAATTCATTTGAAATCAAATAAAGCAGATGCTCTGATTTAAGTGACGATAATGCTCTGAGAGGTTTGAGATGGGGCAGTGCTGCTTGAAGATAGCGTTTTCCTGTATACGGTGTTTTCCTATGATTATGGAGCAATTCTCTAGCCATCTTTATCATGATATTACTGCTATTTAATACAAGCTAAAAGCGCGCCAAAGACTCTACAATGAAACTACTAGCTTTGAAAAAGACATAGGACAAGCGAGTTGTAAAAAAGAAAACAAAAATCGATTAAAATGAGCGTACAGGACACTAGGTCTATCACTAGACGTTGATCTGATTGCTTTCCAATAGGTCAAATATTTTAACAAGGTCAGTGGTAAGTGCTAGTAAGTAACTGTTTTTGCTTTAAAGAAAACTGGCAAACTAGCAACAGATTGCCAACCCGCATTGGGGAAGCCAAGATACGACTTCGATAAGTTAGAGAATACATATTTGCTGTTGTATATAATTCGCCAAAGTGTTTAATAGCCTTTACGCATTCTAAGAGTGGTATACATGAAGATATGTAATGACATATACCTTTAAGGATAATCAAAGAGATTTCGAATCATTCAAATGATTGCTATTTTAAACCGATAGCCGACATCTTGGCATTTTTGGTTCTCAGTTAAGTACAAACATTTCGTCACTAGAAAGATAAACGACTAGATACATTTAGAATTTTTTTTATATAAAAGCACTTATCGGAAATTACACCTCTTTAAATTGATGTTTTGTGGTCTTCTCGAGTTTTATCGTGGGACGGTCGGCGCCGATGATTTTTGCGATCGCTTGAAGATTCTTAAATTACAAGGGGTAGTGCCTTTGTTTTTAAAAGTTTATTAGACTAACTGCAAAAAAACGAGGCGGGAGAATTAGATCTACTACTTATCTCAGGTCTTTAGTGGGAACGCGGAATCACTGCAAAAGGGTAGCGCAAAAATTGCCTAGGGGTCTGATCGGGTGGCTCCGCGGTTCAGTAATATCTGAGGTCAAGTTGAACATCAAAGCAAGTTAGATGGTACAACAATGTGGTTAAAAAAACTCCAGGAAAGTAAGAGGATTATTAAAGCATTCCATAGTAACTACACCAGAGTAAAGAACTGAACGCAGTCGGACTACCTATATTGGTGGCGTAAACTTTAATTATATTGAATCTGCCGTCAACAGCTAGAGTGCAAGAAAATGGAAGGGCTTCCGGTACGTCTAGTCGGTTGTGACATTTAACTATGGCACATGAGCATATGCGTAAAAGACTAGAACTGAGATCATCGGTTGAAGACAATTGATAAAAACAAAACTTGCCGTTCTTGAAGAAGCTCGAAATCGCTCGCAAAATTTGCTACAAAAAATATTGATGCCGCACTCTAACAATAACATTATTACCGATCTTGGATCTACCGTTTTGTAAGACCAGAAAACGATAAGTACTAAGAATAAATGCTCATCTCTTTCAGGCACACGGGTTTTCTTTTTTAAAGGTTTTAGCTTGCGCTGCTGTTGCGTTGTAGCAACTGAGCTGTCTATATTACCCGTAATGTTCGCATTGTATTTACGTTAGGTCCAGTATTCCACAGGCAATTGCTTCGTATTCGTTTGAAACGGTACACGATTGAACAAAAAAGAAAAGATACTAAATTATTAACGAACACCAGTTAGCATAGTGTGTGCGCACCTTGAATAAGTTTTTGAAAAAAGTAAATTTTGTTTTTGATTTTTTAAAATGATCTTATTTACTATATCTAGCATCCAAAATTGAAATATAAGCCAATCAATAATCGAGGTTGCTAGTAATGCTGTGATAGGATGGAAAAGACGAGTTCGATTACCAAGTTGTTTGTTATATAGAACGTAGTTAACAAACATTTCAGAGTCTACATAAACTGATAATTATCAAGCTAGTATTTAATCTCATACGCATTTGACTATGACAATGATGAAATCGAGTAGTTAGTAGGAACAAGCACCGTTTTCCCATTCAGTCGCAAGCCTGGCTATATGGACCGACCGCCATTTTCTACGCCTTGCACTTCGATTCGAATGCAGTACGCTGCTAATTTTATCTATTACGTTTAACGTTCAATATAGTTTTACGCAACATTTATAATTTACGAAGACTATTTACTGGTGCCGAACATTTGCATAAGTCCGTGCGAGGGTTACCGATCGACACTTAGAATGAGCTGGGCGCAGCGGCGGTGCTGGTGGTGATGGTGGCGGTGGCGACCGCGCCGGCGGCGGACGAACCCACTGGAGCAATGAATGCAGCAGCCCAAGTGTCATGGCGGATGTTGAAGGTCTCTTCTGAGGATCGACCTATGCCAAGAGAAACGCCAACTTTCTAGAGGGCGCCCCGGTCGCCACACCGCATCAGTAATCAAGCAAGGGTGTCCACTGCAGCGCAGCGGGCCTGCTCGTAAGGGTCGTGTACCGGCCAACATAACATAACATAATGGCTTCAACTGAGAGTTATAGTTGGGACAAATCGAGGCTGATTAACGAATTATCATTTAAAGCGACAGGTAAAAAATAGCATACACATCGTAGTATGAGTATTTCCTTGGACCATTTAGGAGGGAGTCTAACGAAAACAAACTATTATAATATTTAACGCATACGAGTACATATGATGTGTTGCTTTTCTTATAAAGTGACCTTAGTTTCTTTCAAGTTCCAATTTTGAAACTTGAATGTATTTCAGACCTTATTTTCACTACGACAAAAAGGAAGTTTTGCCAGCGAGGTTTTTAAGTCAAACAACGTCGTTTGGAATCGATTTTCGTATGGGACAATAATGATAAGGAACTTTTGGTATAGTTGAGAGTAATTAACGAAATCACAAAAAATTTCGAAGCTAAATATACTTAACTCTTTAAAAGGCTTTTTTTGTCTCTATTAGAATTTTTAGTTACTTTTATATATAGTGTTGTGCGGCGGCAAGAAAATGCGTTTGGTAGGAAGTTTGATTTGCTTGGCACGGTGGAATCTCTAGGATTCGTCACCATTCTTATAGGATGGAACAAGGTCACTGTGAATAAATTAGTGATAATATTATTAGATCAATTCAAATGATTATATGATTGTTTCCTGGGGTATATCGTAAAACTTTTACTAAAACACTTTGAGATTATTGTTAGCTGTTAGGTATGCTACGATTAAATTCACGTTGAGTAGGTTCCAAAAAGGCAATGAGCCAAGAAAACATTCGGGCTAACATAAAGGGATTGTTCTTTAGGATCTATTCAAGTTCATATTCATTAAGGGATACCAAACACATAGTACTGCAATTCTGCATATCAAAAACCCTAAAGTAAATGATTGACGAAAACCACCCCAATCGCCTTCTAATAATTCCTAACGAGAACTGCGTCGCTGGGATCCTTATCAATAATCTATCGACCTGAAGCGAGGTTTACCTCTCTCTGTCTCTCCCTCTGTTAAATGTTCTTGTGTACAAGTATTGATAGAAAAACAACCAAGTGCGACATCTATCGTTTAAGCCTGCAAAATGAGTTTTCAACAGTTCGTCAGAATACGTTGCCCTTTCGTCCGGGTCTGAGATCGTCTAGCCCTGCCATACTTTACATATCCGCAACAAGGTTTAATATCGAAGCATGGCCTGTTTTGTACCAGTAGACTGAAACAGATCCAAGAGAGAAGAAAGAAAAAAAATCGGCCGCACATAGCAGACAGGCAGAACTTGTAGGATAGAAACATTAACGACTAGAAGATAACAGAATGACTGGAGAGACCGCGAAGCTGGAGAAGGGTGAGAGAACGAAACGTACAAATAGCGGCAGCGACGGGGTCAGACGGAACGGGACATATTCAGGCGGCGGCGGCGGCGGCGGCGGCGGCGGCGGCAGCGACGACGACGATGATGACGACGGCTACGATTGAAGAGGATCTAACAGCAGACACAGCAGCAGCAGTCGCAAATCAATAGTAGTCGCCATTACTCGGTGCAGCAGCAGCACCGAGTAATTCTTCACCATCGGAGTACATCGTAACACCTGCCGTAACCGTCACCACCGTCAACGACAACGGCGACAAAACCATTGCTGTCGTTCATCTATATTGGTTGCAATGGCGAACTGCCAGCACTTACGTCTAGCTGATGGCGTGACATCACACGCGCAAGCGCCATCCACCGAGGAGACGCCGGACCCTGCAGCTGCTGCTGTTCTTGTAGACGTTGCTTTAGAATGCTATCACAGCAGTAATGACAGCTTGCGAGTAGCAGGCGGATTTCAGCGTAGTACAAACAGTCGTGTTCAACAAAAATTCCAGTAACAACAATAATTTAGATTAGAAAGGAAGCAAATACGAAAAAGGAAATGGGTTTGCAACAGAAGACGAGACCTTAGTGCAGGTAACTCGTTCGACGATTCGTTTCCTCTTGAAGGCAGATAACCATATCCGAACCGTTCCATAATGCTCTCTTGTCGCCAATCGGGTTATGTGCCATTTTCCATTCATATAGCACTACCTAGCATGCTGTGTTATGTTCTCATATTATATTATACCATTGCGATTGCCTCAATAATTGTCTTATATTGTTGTTGTTGTCGTCGGTAGCATTGCCGTAATGGCGGCTGTTATCGTTAATGAGCGTACTATAATAATAATAATAACAATAGTATAATAAGAATAATAATAAAATGTACATTGACGTGCCGTCGGCCCCGGCCAGCCAGATGCGGCGGATATATCCGCTAACCGCCATAATGCGGATACTGCGGATCGAACCGATTTCTCAACGCGGATACCATCCGCATTTATCTGCAGCCGGGTGCGGATGCAGAATCGCTCACTACTACAGCGGATCTCATCCGCGGGACCTCGACTACTCGCTGCTAGCTGCTGCTGCTGCTGCCGCAGTCGCTACCGCTGCCTGACTGGCTGGATAGCAGCAGCAGCAGGCGCTGCTGCGGCTGCTGCTGCTGCTGCCGCCGGTGTTACCGCGGCCGCCGCCGCCGAATGCTGCTGCTGCTGCTCTGCGGATAAAGCATGCTGCCGGTCATAGAAATTGTCTGTCTGTCTGTCTGTCCGTCCGTCTGTC